GATTAAAGAAAATAAATTCAACACAAATAAATGATATTCTGATACCAAATATTTTTGGAGATTCCAGAAATGGTGTCCACATTCTGCTGACCTTGCTTGTGTGGAATAATACCCTGATAAGCAATTACAATAAAGTCAACCCTGCTGAAAAAAAAAAAAGACCAAGCCAGTAAGCCTGAGGGGGAATATAATCTTTGAGCAAATCTGTGTAGGTGTACATTTTCTCCAGTTATGACAAGTGTGTACAAGCAATTGTAGAAATAACCAGCGGCAATGGGATTAAAATTTGGAAATAACAGGCTTGATAGCCCCATAGTTTTAGTAAACAGACAGTCTAATTTAGATATTCTTAAAGCCTTAATTTCCCAGATAAGCATTCATTATTTTAAGGCACTTCCTAGGCTCAAGTGTGTACTTTCAAGTACAGGTTTGGGCATATGGCTTGAGTCCTTAACACCCTTAATAATTTAAAAACACTGTAACACAATACAATTACACACATAACTTTTGTATGAAGCCATCATGTAATGAAAGGTGATGGATGGCATGTGCAAGGTCAGAAAAATTTTACATGCTTACATACTGTTTATTTTGTAGACAGGGAGTAGGTAGTACCAACTCCGATTAAGTTTCTCTAAAATTTGCTATTCATCCAACTTCAAAAAGTTTATTTCAAAACTTTCAAGATTATCACCTGACTACACTGCTATTTTTGAGGGAATTTCCTGGTCCAGACATTAGAGGGAAAGATGACAGGAAAAAATACTTTGTGGACCCCAAGAAAATCTGCTTCCATTCAGCGAAGTTCTAATTGAAAACCTGCTGTTTGCACAGACTCAGAAGAGAACACTTTGAATTTAACAAATGATGTCTCCTTACCCATTTGGATCTGAGCACGACTTTTCCAACACTTTCAGCTTTTTATTATGGTCAGCTGTAGCAGGAACAAGAATTTAAACTTAAGGGAGGTGAGTTCAGAATCAAATGGAGAACAAAAAGCATGACTGAGATCAGAGTGAGAAAAGAGGGGGATTAACTTGGTAGCTGGAAAATTAAGGGGAGCTTAATTTTGGAGAAGATGGTGTCAGAGGGAGAAAAGACAGTCACATGGTTAAAGCCACCCAAAACTATCTCTGCATTGGTATCCAAGTAATTATCATTACTATGATGTTTAATAGACTGTAACTACTTGTGTATTTTATATTTCTGAGACAATTATTTGTACTATTGGAGACTCTGTCTCCAATTTTGTAGAGTCAGAGCTCCAAAGGAAGACACCTTACTATTTTTTGAACATTTACAATGCTGGTTTCCAAATTCAGGTCCCAGGCATCTTAAAATGGGATTTGTTTCCTATCACTCACCTTTTTGGGATTGGCAGAATACTGCTAAAATGTTACAGAGTGCCAAAGGGAAAGAACATCTTCCAGACTGTGCTTGTTTCCTGAGATAGCAACCATAATGTACCGTAATGTCAGAGGTACCCACTTCTGAGTAACACAGATAACAGCTTCCAGCACAAGGCTTTTGAGGGAAATCTTAACTGCTCCCTGGAGAACAGAGGCCCAGACACAACAATGTTTATAGCATTTAATAACTTTTAAAGCCAGAATGACCCATACCATTATCTTGCCTGCCTTTCTGCATAACACAAACCACAGAATTGCACTGAGCTCCCAGAGTTTGGTTAAAGTAGAAACATTCAGAGCACATAGTTACGCATATGCTGATGGGTAATTCTCCTCCCTGCATTTTCTAATGCATCTTTTGTTCTCCATCAGTATCCTAGGTTATACACAAATCCTTTAACTGGGGAGCAGGACTGTACAGAAAGACCTCAAAAGAAAGATACTGGTTTCTAGAACTTAAAAATCAACTCCATGTCTTGAAGGACAAATCTCCTCACACAAACTTTCCAACATATCATCGGTGAGATTCTAGAGACCTTGGCCAAGAGTTTTCACTAAATGAAATGCTGGTTATCTTTTGAATGCTTGCAAATAAACTAATTACAATAATTTAACAACTAAGAAATACTGGAAGAGATTTGGAGAAACTGTATCCACAGAAGGATGACACACTCTCTCTGAGGGTGACCATACACAGATTGCCCCGAGAGGTTGTGGAATCTCCATTCTTGGAAGATATTCAAAAGTAATCTGAACACAGTCCCTCCTGGGCAGCTGTCTTTAGGTGACCCAGCTTGAGCAGGAAGGTTTGACTAGATGACCTCCAGTGGTTCCTTCTGTGATATCTGAGATTTAACCATTCCCCACCTGCTGTTGCAAGAACTGAGGTCAGCTGAGTTCTTTTTTTACATCTCTAGACTGAAATACTTTTCTGAAAGGTAAGTGAAGCAGTGCAAAGTGTTTGCTAATTTTCTCCTGTAGTTATTATTTACATTTCTATTTATGTAGATGTATCATATTACTGCAAGTAAATTAATGTTTATACAATGTTTTTAAGATATAAGGCATTTGTGTGCTCTCGTATTCACTCAGGTACAGTTTTTCGTGCATGATAAAATCAATTCACTGCCTCTTTTAAGGTTAGTACTCAAAATCCAGCTCTCATGTACTTTTTATTCATCTGAGTTGATTGTACTTTAGCTTCTTTATGGACTCTTTAAAATATGCACTAATAAAATCTTATTAGCTTTTTATTATCAACTGTCTCAACATACAAATATTGGAAGCTGCAGGGATTTTCTGGTCATTGTGAGCACGACTCCAGATTAACTAGCAATCAATGCATTTGTTATACTCTCTCTGGCAATTGATGTTTCTGAAAAGGTAACAAATTTTTAGCATCATTCAGGCAATTTGCAGAGATAATTCTGCCTTTAAGGGTGCTCCGTTTATTTCAACACAACATAGGAATGAAGTCAATCTGGGTAAGTTGCTATGATTTACTGACACCTCCCTTTAGCTGATGTTCCACAGCTGGCTGAGCAAAAATTCTATGTTAGAAACACACCAGGTATTTAGGACCTTAACTTGCTATAAATTCTTTGAAGTCAATAGGTAGGATTTAAAAATCAATGGAAGGATATGGCTCAAAAGTGCTTCTTCCAAAACTATAATGGTACAAATATCATCACTGAGCACTCACCTATATGTAAGATCTGAACACTGAAATAAAAGCCTACAAAAGATATATACATGTGTGAGATGACATTGAAATCAATGCATTTAAGTCCCTAAATAGCTCACCTGATAATTCTCACCAACACGAACATCTGAATGTCTCTAGAATAGAAAAGCATTTACAATGGTAGTGCTTTCTTGGTGGAGTACTTTGAAGTCTGCTATTTTAAAAGTTGTTACAGGAGGACACTGTGAGAAAACAAGATAAATGTTTTAGTGAGGAATTACATGGTTGAGAAATCATACATGAGGGATACTCCTCCCAGTAGATTTCACTGATTTTGCATGAGTACACTTTGGTTACATTAGACGTGGGTTTGGTGGAACATAAATTTTAAGGATGAGGAAGCAGTTGTTAAATTTACCTGACAGAGCTAAAGAAGGTGTTAATCTCTATTTTTGTTCTCTTAATGGTACCTGACACTATATCTTTTAAGACCACAGGCTTTGGCTCCACAGTGAGTCAACAAAAAAGAAAATATTTGACTACGTGAACTGTTAGAAGAACGGTCCTTATTACAAATATCATTCAAATGCAGCATGAACAGTACATCCCCAAATTCTATCAAAAAAATAAACACACAACTCAAATGAGGATATTCCAACCACTTAAGTATTACAATAATCAAAAGTATGCAAACAAGGGGATGAACAAACATCATAAACAATGTTACTCTTCAGAAGTCAAATTCTCTCTGCAGTAAACAGAATTGGTAGCAAAAAAATCACCGTTAACTTTGCTTATCAGATGCCAAGGAAAGATAGAAGATAATCATGTCTAAGTTCACACAATCACATTGACTGAACATATACCCACTGCAGAAAAAGCTGTACAACTACCCAGCTCTGCCTCTGGTAAGACCTGGGGTGTTTTACCCATTATAAAATAATAACTTGCAAAAAAATGCACAGATATATATACCCAGTCCTGGATCACTGCTTATAGAGGCCTGTTTGCCAATGACTTTGGAAAGAGAAACCCAGCTCTGTAAACAACTCTTATTGCTTGCTACGTGAACTTTCAAAAGCCTTTCATCAACTTGTGCACTTTGAAATTTTCCAGAAGGCAATTTTTAGACATTAATACAGACACTTTTTCCATTTTTATTGCAACCTGAAATGTTCCTTTAATAATTTCCATGGCAAACCAGGTAACAATACATTTAACATTTCCATCAAATAACTTATATTTTAGTTCTAAGTATCTATACAAAACTCCTTTTTTTAAGCTCTAACCCCAGAATCATCTGAGATTTTAAAACTCTAAACCCAATAGGGCTTAACAATTCCCATCGTTTACATTATTAAGACCTGCAGTTCTCAAATGTGCCTATCCCCTCAGGGGAACACTGAACCTCCTGATCCTTTCATTCACACATTGCTTTGGCCAACAAGTAATGGTATCATTAGAGCCCTCGTACAGGACTTTCCCCAATGCAGAGCAGCTCTGAGTTTTGGTCCTGCAACATGCCTCACCAGCTTGTGCCTCCAGAGTGGAATTCCTGGTTCTACAGCAGGTTCTACAGCATTTATATTTTGCTTGTGCTTTTTGACAACAATCCAGGTGCTATATGCCAGGCCTGGAATAGTGGGTGCTGTGTCTGAGTGATGGAATCCCAAAACTGTTTCCAGGATTTGGAGGCCTTGTTTTCATTTACAGCTCTCAGGAAATTTAGAGAGACCTTGAAGTGGGCTGTTTTGGTAATGTATAAGCTTATAAGGCCTGTACCCTTATAAGATCAGGCAGTTCTTTTATTTAAAATAAAGACTGAAGTTATTCTTGTGCAAGTAAATGTTGACTCAAACTTTTCAAATCACTTGAAACCGCCACAAAAATTTTCTCTTCAAGAAACATTAGAGAAAACAACTCTTTATTTTCATACAGAAATGGAATAATCAAAGTTAATCTCTATTCTCAGAATTGAGGTATTTATTGTTCCACAGGAGTAAAGATGTTGGATTGCACCAGTAAAGGTGTTTTGTGCATTTTCACTCTGGTGCTGGATACCTGAAATGCCACATCCTTCAAATACTTACTCTGAATGAAGAAGATGAGTGTGCTGAAGAAGGTAAGAAACACAACAGTATACTTAAGTCAGATTTTTCTGACAGAGCAGGGATGGAAAGCTCACCCAGATATACACCTGGGGTGTCTCAGAACCGGGTCTTCAGCGCGTTGCAGGACGTGCTTGGTACTTCGCAAGATTGAGATCTTAGTCGTAAAAACGTATTTTACATATAAAAATACAGCAGATGTCCCTCCAGAAATCCTAACTTAAGTGTTATTCCCTCTCATTGTGTTTCATACATTCAGAAACAGACATTTGAGATATACTGTGAACAGTGCAAAAGACTGTTTTATATTTATAAAACCACGCTCTGCGGTACCTTTAAGCGACAACTGAAGGAAAAGCTGAGAAAAGTTTCATCCTCAGAGCAATTCTGGTCCAAGCTGAACTTTTGTTTAGCGAGTTGTAAACAAATGTCTTAGAATGCAGAGAATCCTCTCATTTCTTTCCAGCTAAGGTGGTCTCAAACACATCAAGTCCTGCTTTGAAGTAAACCTGAGCTGAATTGATGCTGTTCAGCACCTCTGACAAGGCTGCCTGAATGGTCTCATTTGACTGATGTAGTTTGCAGTGCTCCAGTGCCTCCAGCAGTAGTGAAAACTGGCTGGTCCTTTCATCCAGTCTGTAAAGAATATTTCTAGAAGAGAACAATGGAGAGAATGGTAAACTTTTTACTCAAAACAATTCATCAGAAGCCATCAAGAAACCCTGCAAGTATCAGCCACACTTTACAGATGATATGTATTATGCACAGTAAAGCTGACCCATGGCAAAGTGAAAGGCAACTGCATATTTATTATACCTTGTTCACTGAACTATGAGTACATGCACTGAAACAGTCACTAAATCCATCAAAGAAATCTCACATTCCTCTTTGACCATTCAAGATTTTATTCAAAAGCATGAGCTTACACCTATCACACCCCTCATGAAGGATTTCGCGTCTCAGTTGGATTCCATTTATTCCCCTCTAAAAAAACGTTTGATTATTGCTGTGAGCCCTCAGCACAGGTCTGGGGTTGTTTTTGTTTTTCCTATCTGCTCCTGTTATTTATTTCCCTCTTCAGAGGCAAAATTCCAGCTACGTTGAAGTCAATGGTGAAACTCTCATTGCCTTCAGCAGAGCCTTTACTTCATCAATAATCCTTTGTGGCATCAGAACAAGAGCAACCCATCTTTAATGTCACATACTCGAGGAAGGAAATAAACAGCACACACAGCTATACCCTTGTGAAACAAAATCTGTGTTTTCCTAGAATATCTGAAAAACTTTTTAATGGTTTATAGAAAAACACGTGGAAGAGTGTTGTCTGATCCCTTGGAAATGTTATCTGTATGAGGTGTGGAAGGCTCAGAATTCAAAGCTAGTGAGTGATTTTAATGAGACTCTTTGAAGCAGGCTATAAATGCTATCCAAAACCAGGTGTAATCATTATTTTAATTAGAAGAGCATGTAAATATCATAAATCTCCACCCAGCAGCTCCTTTGATTGTAAACAGAAATGAGTGAAATTTGAAACAGGAAAGCTACAGTGATTTGGTGCAGGACTTTATCCTTAAATACAAGGCAGGTGTTTGGGGCAGGGAGATGTCGTTTCATGGAATGAAACCATCAAGAAACAGGACAACTTACATACTTTGTTAGTAACCTAATTGCACAACAGAACAGGCCAAATGGCAACTCCAAATTAGTAATAAAAAGGCCAAGTACCTACAAGACAGATGACCACAAAAGGGCATCTTATGAATCACCTATTGCCAGTCTGCCAGGGGGAAAAGTAAAAAAGTATCCCTATAAATGACAGCACAGAACAACTACAATCTTCTGCCATGCTTTTCAGTTTATAATAAAAAAAGTGTTTTGAAAGAGAGGCAGTGTTTTTCAATATGAAATAACTGCTATCCTCACAGGCCAATTTTTCAGGCTATGTTTTTGCCTTCCTATGTTGGGAAAACATAGGAAACCCAGCAACGTGCAGTAGGAAAGGTAAGCTTCTCATCCCCTGGCAGCAATACATCCATCCATTTCAAGGGTTCTGCAATGCAATACACTGCAGTTTTAAAGACAGGAGGGAAAGGGGTTGAATCCAACACTGCAGCAGCAGGACAGCTTACACAGTTTAAACAATAGGTCATCACTGACCTCGATCATTTAGACTGAAATAGGTTAGAAGCACTTCCAGGAACAGCTCAGCAGGGACAGGAATTTCCATCAAGAGGACTGTAACAGGCAGATGTGGCAATAACTTCCTCAGCTTGCACTGCTGTTCCTTAGCTCTGAGCTGATGCTGCTGTTCCTCAGACTAAGATGCATCTTACACTCAAAGGTGACTCAAGCTATATGGTGGACTGTCCCAAAGCAGTCCCTGTGATATAGTAAATGAAAACTTTGTATGCCGAGAACCAGATAAATTCCTTGTTGGTTGGTTTTCAAAGATAGGCTGTGCTATGGGAAATACTGTATTTTTCAAAGCAGGGATTGATTTTGCTCCCTCTGAAATCAGTTCAGGGACTCCTGCTGAGATCAGTGCAAGCAGAACTAGGCTTTTGAAGAACTCTCCTCTGTAGTTCCTGCAGTTCACAGGGAGAAAGTAGCCTGTTCACAACCCCTCAAACACCTTCAACAGCAAGGACAGTAGAAAATAATCACATTACTTTCTACTCTTAGGAGAGATCTTATTGCTGGTGGCTGGGAGACTTTGACTGAGCTGGAATTCTATTCCAATGCCTACAATACTGGCTCCCTGATCTATATTAGAATCCCTCTATTCCTTTATTAGGGGTAATGTCAACTAGTAAAAAGTATCATAAGATGATAACCATCAGCAGAGCAACACTGACTTAGACTGCTAGAAATCAGGCTCTAAAGAGAGGATGGCATAAACATTGGAATGGACATAAACATTGGAATGTCTGGGGACTGCTGAGACAACATTTGTGTTGAATAGGAACAGATCTTCTCCTGCCCCATCTTCAAATGTGCTCCAAACAAGGCACACAGGCTAAAAGGATGGTTTGCCTTGACACGTAAGGATGCTAACACAGTTAAAATTTACTGTGTGACTTTGGAATCACAGGTGATTGCACAGTTAAAGGCACAGGTAGGTGATCCACTGTAAAAGACAGGTGTTCCTAGCCCATCCCACCCGACTGTGGTGTAAATTAGTGTCTGATGAGAAAAGCTTAGTGGTTGGATGAATGAAAGAGACAAGCCGTTTGCTGTCATAGTTTAAATAATATCTTAACTTTTGCTATAGTAATATGACTTCAGCATATGGTACGACAGAACCTACTTTTTGTTTTTATCTATGCAAATAATAATAATAATAATAATAATAAGTAACATCATACAGCACCTGTTTTTTTGAATTTTCTGCTAGGAGTTCTCACTAGGATCTTATATTTTCCAATTACTTATCTTTGCTTGGCAAGCCATGCCACTCCTTTGTTGCATAAAATGATTTCTCTCTTTATGCACGTTCATGAGAAACACTTTATACAAGTTTACTTCTTATCTCTGTCCAAGCTTCATCAAACGAAAAAAATGGTCAGTCCAGTTTATTACTTCCAAGCCTTTACAAGTCAGAAAAGTGTTTTCATTAAAGATTACACAGGGACTGAAAAATAAACCCCAGCCATTTCACTGGCACAAGATATCACTATGAGCCCACAACACGCATAATGATAGCAAGAGACTTTAATTTATACTGTGAAATTCAATTACCTAAACATTCCTTAACACAAATTGGTTTTGTAGCCTACACCTCTAAAACAACAATTCCAGTCTCTGGTCTAATTGCTTAAGTATCTACCTTCATCTTTAACTATTTTGATCTCCTAAATGTAATTCACACAGTCAGCCTGACCCACACAAAACAAAAAGAGACTCCAAACCAGAAAACTGCAGTACATTATTGATAAGACTAATGAAATTACAACACACATCACTTATCTAAATGGACTTGTTCCTACGACACATCTCAGTGACCTGAAAAGTGTAACACCGAAGCAGGAAACCTAAGCAAGAACTTCAGGCAGTACCACTGAAAGAGGTAAAATGGCTCCAAACAAAAGAACCAGCCTTAGCAAAGTAAAGCAAAGAAACTGTAAAACTGAACTCTTAACAGAACCTCTTCTGTAACTTTTATGAGCCCTTTTCAGGCCTAGGAACATAAGCATTACTGATCAAAACAATGCCATTAAATGCTGTTTTACACTATCACAAATAAGGAGGTAATGTCATACCCACCAGACCAGAATGAATTTGAAAAATTCTTGAAATGACAGATCACACTAAAAATTTGATTTTAACACCACTTAAAGCTATTTTGGAAGTTATAGTAGAACAACTGGACAGTATAGGATAAAACTAGATTATTGCATTATTCTTGTCAAGAAAAAGCATTTTTTAGCTTATAAGAAAAGTTTGCAGGTAATGAGCAACACAAGCTCAATTATTCAGGTACTTACAAGCAGACTCCCATCTAAGAGCCTATATTTGAGATTTTGAAAAGTAATTATTAAATCATTAGTACATAATGGCAAGTACACTGTCCTTTTTCTCTGTGGACTCACATTAGAATTGTGTACAGGTAAATGCTATGGGCAGCCTCTGCCTATTCCAGTTATAACACAATGTGCTATGACTTCAGCATCCTCACAAACTCAATTTTATAAATCCTTGAATTGTTTCTTCTTGTACCCTCCAAGAAAAAAAAAAGCACACCAGAACAAGGATTCTCTGAGTTTCACTTTCTCCTGATACTGTTCTATTTTGAATGCACTTCTCTTACATCTAGGAGTTTGGTTTCATTCATATTCGTAAAACATAAAATATTATTACCTTGGTAAATAAATAAATGCATTCTAATAACATTATTTACATGCTGGAACTTCCACTTCCACAGGGTGTTTATTTACTGCAGGACATAAAAATATTACAAATTCTTCTTCCCTGAAAACAGCATGAGCTGATTTATACTCATTTATGTACACTTGCTTGCACCTAAGAAAATTTTATGTTGATGGTACAGAAAGTTTCCCTTCTTCCTCTGGGTTCCTTATCCTTTTGATCTCCAACAGTTCTTCTCCTTTCCTCTCTTCTTATTTTCTAAACCTTTTTGACACCCACATGCAGTTATATTATCTTTCCTGTTTTATTTCATAGCACTATTGTGGCAGAAGGTTTATCATAATAAAATTGGCGCTGCTGGCCATATAAGACCAGGACAAAATATATGCCCTGGTAAACTGTCATTACATGTCATTAGAGCTGCAAATGTCACTATTCCTTCACTTTCTCAAGTCCCCAAAAACTCAGCACATCATATTTAAGGTCTTTTTATTTCTAATATGTTGTTTCTAACTTTTGCTTGCTCCTTTTAAAAGAGCCATCACCTGCCTTCCCTTAGTGTTCTCATCTACAAACTGTTCTACCAATATATACTTTCCAGAAAGTGATGTATTAAAACCACATACACTCAGAGGTGTCTGCCTCAAAGGTATGTATTTGCATGTTATCAGCAGTTGATAAGCTACAGGTAATCCAGATATCAAACCTAAATAAGGTCTAACCACCGGAAAGGCATTTCAAAGGCATTGTTGTGGCAAAACAGATAAATTCACTTCCTGCTAGAT